AGACTTGCGATACCAGCAGCTGCTCTGCGAATGAGCAGATCAGGAAAAATACTCCATTTGCCATGATCTGGATCAAAAACTTCACAGCTTGATAGTGGTGTCATAGATTCTCTCTCRTAGCCTCCAATAACATAGATTTTCCTGTTAAGTACTGTGGCACAGGCCAAGGTTCGTCTAGTGTTCATCGTGGTTTCATGCCGCCAGTGATCTAGACCAGGATCGTAGCTCTCAACACCGTTAAGTGGCAAACCYTTCTCATTGATTCCACCAATGGCATAGATGTAGCCATCWARGACAACTGCTGAGAGTGCTTTACGACGCTCTATCATCGATGCCTTGATTGTCCACGTGTTGTTTACAGGGTTGTAACACTGTACAGTATTATAAGGACGGAATGCGTCGCGTCCACCGAGGACATARACACATCCATCTACGGTGACCGCAGCCGCTGCTGCGCACTTGATTGGTAATGGTGCTACTTCTGTCCAGGAATCGATGCGGGGGTCATAGCGCTCWACAAGATTGGTCTTCTTATTGCCGCCAATGGAATAAAGAAAGTTCTCACAATTGACTGTCACGTGTTCGTCACGAGGRTGATGCATATCGGCCAATTTTAACCAKGCCTCTCTTGTAGGGACAAAACACTCGGTGTGGTTGGCTTGACTGGTGAGRTATGTTCCTCCAGTAATGATGATACCAACYTCTTCCTTTGCTAAGTACTTCCTTGGCATGACATTAGAGTTAAGGACACTTGTAAATGATCGATCTGGCAATGCTAGCGCCTTGAATGTATCGAATAAAAGRTCACAGCAAAGTTTACTCTGTTTTACTAGGTCCTCACTCTCTATRTAGTCAGCAAGATAGTAYTTTGAAATTGATGAAAGTCGGATGCAGCGGAACAGCTTTTCAAAATGYTCTTGACGTGCATCTAAATCATGATAAACCCATTCTTGAATCGCTTCAAAGATCAACTCTTCTCTCGAAATGATAATTTCATCGCGCTGAAACATTTCCAGCAAAAAACTCACATCGAGGTCTTTGAAGCCTTCCGTAAAGCAAAGCATTTCAAAGTTAAAGTTTATAAAATCGTTGGCCTGTGTTTCCAGATTTTCACATCCATAGCGTCGGCTAAAGAGATACAAAGGGAAGCAGTTCCTTGATGTGAGCTGTTTTTGAAGGAATATAGTTCCGACTTCCTTCAAGCTCGGGATAATCATGTAGTCAGCCACAGCTACAATGTCCTCTGCGGTCTCCTCATTTAACGAGATTTCACCGGTGTATAAAAATGTCAATACTGTCTCGATSGTSTCAGGATCGACATCGTTGTATTCCAAAACCCCTTGCTGTTCTTCCTTCATGTGATTTGTGAAAAGACCACGAAAATAGTCGCTTCCTGCGCTGAGAACACTTCGATGTGCCCAGAAATCCTTTCCTTGGACTCTCAGCACTACATCACAGAGAACTTGATTCTTTCTCATTTCGTTTGCGTTCGTTAAAAGAGCGGCACAAAATTTCTCCTTGATCTCCTTCTTGATTTTATCCATTTCTGGATCCATGTCTTTGAGAGGTTTTTTTTCTGTTGAGTTTATATGTGTAGCATRAATAATACCGTCCTTTGTTTACATTTACMAAAACAGCTGAACATTGAATTCTGATTTTGTTCTTTGTTTCAATAAGCCAATAGTCATTATTATGCAAAATACTACCTTACCGATATACTATGATTTTTATAATTTTTCTTTTACTTGATGATGGTTGATGTTCTGACTCTCCAATGATCGATCCACCGAGTTCCTTTTAATACCTGACTGGTGTGTTTTTGTCGTATTTTTAACGCTCCCGTGACGTCACCACAGACCTGTACAGGCCAATTCAATGTGCTATAATCTCCTTATTACTTAGATAGGGATACAGTATTTTGTGTTTAATATACTGTTTTTTTACTATGAATTAACAACGTTCTAAAAATTAGTTGTAGTCCASTTTGGATAAATTAATTCCTGGTCAGTTTGTCCACTTGACCGCCGCAAAACATGGAAAAAAATCAWCATATTCATAACTAGGCATGCGTTTTAACATGTACCACTGCAAATAACGCGTTCATTCATGTTACTTCTCCTGCTCTTTTTGTTTTACGGCCCATCGATTTTTATGACCACCAGCATTGTCAAACCTTAATATGCAAAAAAAATTTGTTGTTGTATTGATATGCAAATAACGTGAAACGATTAAAAAAGCTATATAGATGTTAGCTATTGTTCCTGGTAAACGTTGTTTACACCTCAGCACCACGCGACCCAGGTGTCCAGTTATCAGGTATTTGTCGCCGTCCAGGAAACATAACAAAAACAGCACGGCAGGACACGTTTTGCATTGATTTGTTATTTGTCACTTCGCTTGCTTTTAGAAATGAATTAGCTTTATTATTACTCGGGGTTCCATAGGAACCGCGAGTTTAGGTTTCGGCTTTCTTTGTCATGGTATTCGTCGTACACAAATTGTCTCGGCCAAACTAGAATGCACTGGGTACGAATCACGTGACATTCACAACTTCCATGTGCTATCTTTACATGGTGTCGTCGAGGTGTCGTCTTT